GCCCACAGTCCTGGGGACCTTCCAGGCCGGCTGGAGTTTCAGGAGAGGGTAGCGGAGCACCAGGCTGAGTGAGCGCCCCAGACGGGCTTGTCCATGCTCCGCCTCGGGCCTCGGTCGTCTGGGCTGTGGAACGGGGCTGGAGCTGTCCTCCTCACTTCACAGGGCCGCTGGGGAAGGCTGAGAACAGGCCTTGGAAAGTGTGAGGTGCAGAGTCAGGGGAATGGGTATCACCGCTTCCTCCTCTTCCCCACAGGGCCACCCGTTCATCGTGCAGTTCAACGATGGGAATGCCACCGTGGTGTCCATGTGGGTGTGCAGGGCGCTGGAGGAGAGGCGCAGCCAGCAGGGCCCGCCCTGAGGCTGCAGGGGGCGCCCGAGAGCCCAGGACTGGTTACCAAGGGAAACGCCACCTTCTGCGCCCTTCTCCGTTTGCTGTCTGCGCCAGAAGAGCTTTGCTGGACCCAGGCCTCCCCGCTCTCACCTTCGACTCGGCTGGTAGATGGTCTTGCCTTGGGAGCCCTCCAGGGAGCCCTCACCTGCCTCAGGTCCGGAGGCCTGGCTGGCTGGGTGGGCAGAGGCGTCGGGGCATCGAGAACGGAGGCCCCTGTGCCCTCACGCCTCTTTCTTTCCCCTAACATTCTTGTTTGTAAAAGGTCAGGCCCCGTCGGCATCGCTGATGGGAATAAAAGTGTTACTGCTCTGTGACCGCCTCCCCCCATGAGGGCTGGGCTGCGCGGGGAGTCTGTGACCCACCCAGGGGCGGGGATGGGGTGGGGGACCTCATTTCAGTGGGAATGTGTGTGGCAGTGCCAGCCCCCTGGGCCGGGCCTGCCCTTCCCCGGGGACCTGCAAGCTTTGGGAGTGCTTCCCGCAGTTCCATGATGAGGCCCGTGGCCTGGCTTGGCTCGTTTGACAGATGAAAAACTCAGGCATGGAGGCCCCTGAACCAAGTCCCACCCACCGCGAGGAGTGGCCAAGCCAGCACGGGAGCTGAGCTCTCAGGACCCCCGGCATGTGCTCCCTGCTGGGCTGGAGTTGGTCTGTCCCCACCCTCTAGGGCCAGGAAGTCCCAGCAGTGATCTGACCTGGGGCCGTGGGTGAGGAAGGAGACCAAGAGTTGGCAAAAGGCCCCAGGTGGTTCTGAGAGGCCCTTCTTCCCTGCCACCCCCACACCCCACCACCTCTCCTCTCCACAGCAGGCTGCCCCTCCCTGCCCTTGACCCCACACCCAGCGAACCTCATTCACCTCCGGCCACTCACAGCCATCCTGTCAGGTAACCCTCTCAGTGAGCCGACAGGTGAGTGTGTTACCGCCATTTTACAGGTGAGGAACTGAGTCTCAGTGAGGCTCAGGTTCCCGCTTGGAGGTCTAAGTGACTTCCCAGCACAGCCAGAAGCAACCTCCGGATGCCACACACACATCCAGAAGCTCACTTCCTCCACCACTTTCCCATCTCCACCCTCCCAGGGTCCAGTCTGACACCCTGGGGCGTGGCCTTGCCGCCTTTGTCCTTCACGGCCCACCTGGAAGTCCTGTTGTCTTTGCCTTCAAAGTGTCCTGATGTCACTGCTTCCCAACCGCATCCAAGGCGCCTGGACCACTGCGGCGGCAGCCTCCTTACCAGGCTCCTGCTCCCACCTGCCCCCTGCGGTCTATTCTCCACAGACACTAGGGGGAGCCAGTTCAAAGGAGGCGGGTCATGGCCCTCCCGGCGTGGCCCCTCCAGGGACTCCAGCTGGCTCGGAAGACAAGTCAGAGACCCAGCAATGGCCCCTGTGCAGTCTGCCCCATTATCTCTGACCTCAGCTCCCATCACCCCCAACTCCCGCTGCACTCTGGCCGCCTGGCCCCCTTACTGGTCCTTGAACAACCCAGCACCCTCCCCGCTCAGGGCCACAGCAGAGATACCCACTGACCCCTGAAGCGCTCCCTCCAGAGTGTAGGGCTGTGGGGAAGCCTCTGACCGGCCCCAGACCACACCTCCCAGGCCCCCTTTCATTTCACAAGGGCCACGGGACTGGTTCTTGTCAGTTGAAGCAGATGGTGCGTTGCTTCCTGGCCAAGAAGCTTAAGATGCAGGTGTGCCTTCTCTGCGACCCCTCTCCCCATCCTCCTGCCAAATGGAAAAATGACCGTGGCGGGAGCTGGGGGAAGGCTGAGCTGCAGATGCACAAGTGCAGACTCTGGTCTGTTTCTGTTTTCTTCACATTGTACCTACTACCCCCCGACCCCCGTCCCAGTGCCAAGAATAGAGCCTCACCTCACAGGTGCCCAGTAAGCGTTTTTGGGCAGAGTGGCAAGTGGCAGGGCTGTGATTCCCAGCGCTGCACAGTACTTTGCCCATGAAGGGCTCAGCCCACGTGAGGCATCCTTTTGTTTCGTGGGGCAGAGTTGTCATGTTCTTGGTAACGCTTTTCAAGGTGGTAGAGGCCTCCAGCTGCCCCTGGGCATCAGGCAGAGCGTCCACCCCCTTACTGAGTGCCTGCTGCGTCCCTGGGGCTGGGAAGGTCCCAGGGTGGGTGAGGCCCGGCCCATCAAGGCGGCTGCTCCCTGGGTCAGTGCTCACAGAGAGCTGCAAGGGGCATGTGTTATAGACTTTTCAAGGAAGGGTGCTCCCCAGGGCCTGCCCAGCCCAGAACGTGAGCCAGCCACCACCTAGACGTGAAGTTCATCCTTGCTTTGAGGAGATATGCCCAGCCAGCCTGTCCCCCAGCCCTAAGCCAGGGGAAGGAAGGAAAATGAGCAGGAGTCCCCTGCCAGCCCTGTGCTGAGAGCTTACTTTGTCTTGTTTAATCTCTGCATCAATCACACGAGGTAGGTGTATCATTAATCTGCCCATTTTACAGATGGAGAAACCAAAGCACAGAGAGGCCAAGAGACTTGCCCAAGGACACCCAGCAAGTTAGTAGCAAAGTACCCTTTGGAACTCAGAGCCACACTCTTAACCGTGGCTCCAGAAGTCAGCTCCACAAGCACTGCATGTGTATATGTGAGTACACATGTACCCTGTCCTTTGTAACAGTTTGCGCACAAACTCTGATGTATCAGTTCCTTTGGAGTGAAGCCGAGGGATCTGCTCGGTGGGCACCCCCGGGACACAGAGGCAGGGCCCCCTCCCACAGCACTGAGAAACACTGCTCTAGAGGGTGTGTCGAGGCCCTGGACCTGGAGAGCAGCTTCCAGGGTGACCTTGGACAAAGCACGCCTCCAACTGAGCCTCGGTTTCCTCATCGGTAAATGCAGGGGTTGATTCTGCGGAATCCTGGAGTTCCTCCCAGCCCTGATGTTCCCGAACCGGGGTTCTTGCCCTTTGGGGCCATGGACCACCACGAGCATCCCACGGAAGTGGCAGACCATTGCCCGAGAATAATGTGCACCCACACACATACAAACGCACAGTGTTGTCCACAACTTATGGTTCATGGAGCCCCTGGGGCCCACTCACTGGTGGGCGCCAGGCCTAACACCCCAGCTCTGGGTTGGCCCCAAGGTCTAAGTTCCTCTGTGGTTCAGTCTTGGGAAGATGGGGAGCTGGGCGACCCCTGAGGGCTCTCCTGCAAAGACACCTCTGCCTAGTGGGCAGGGCCCTCTTTGGCCCATTTAGGCTCGGTCATCCCCCTAGTTGCCCTTGACAGCCCCGAGGCCAAGCTGCCCTTGCCTTCAGGGTCATGGAGGACTGAGACCTGGAACACAGAGGGGCAGGAATGAGCTCTTCCCGCTGCCCAGGATGCCACCTCAGCCACCATCCCCCTGCCCGTGCGCCGACTCCCACCCCTCCCTCGAGGACCCTCTCAAAGGGCACTTCCTCTTGGAAGCTTCTTTTCTACCTTCTCAGGTACAGACTGTGAGGCTCCTGGGGTGCATCACCCCAGGGCTTGGCCAGAGCAGCATGTGGAAGGTGCTTTGAGGTACGGGAGGGCCGGAGGGAGGGCTGACAGGGCGGGAGGGTCAGGCCCGCAGGCCGCCTCCCCAGGCCTCATCATTGTCCTCTCACTCCAAGCCTCAGTGACACCCATTGGCCTTCTAACCAGAGCCTCCTGGAGACCAGATCCCCGTGGAATGCAGCCCTGGGCCTCTTAGACCTTCAGGGAAGCCAGGAGGGGGCTGTTTGTGGTACAGGCTGGGCTTCATGGAGCCCCCAGGTCATGCTGGAAGGTGGGCGCTGCTCAGACGTGGAGGCGAGGAGTCCCTCAGCACTCAGCCCACTGGACCTTCCTTGTCCTGCCCTCCTGCCCAATGAGAAGTACCAGTTGTGGGACCCCAGGGCTTTGAGCATCCTCAGTGGGGCCAGGGGGGCCAGGCTGGGACACTTCTTCCCCACATGCGGTCAGACAAAGGCCTTGTGACCCAAAGCGGTGTGACCTAGGGCCCAGCCCAGCTGGGGGCAGTCAGGCCAGTGCAGGGCGGGCTGGACACTGCAGCCCGGCCGGGGAAGCTGTGGGTGCCCTGCCTGCAGGCCTGGAACCTGGGGCCTCGTGCTCGAGCTGAACAGACCCGAATCTTTGGGGGAAGGCCTGTGCTTCCAGACCTCTGCACACTCAGGGCTAAAGGTCAGAACAGCCTCAAAGTGAGGTCCTGGGATGGTGCCAGGCACACAGGCCAGCAGCTCCCCAGACCCCCTCTACCACATGGCTTGGTTAGAAGAGGGGTGGTCAACTACATCCACGTGGGGAGGGGGAGCCCGGAGAGGTCCGTGATGCTGCCTCAAAGGCGTCCTCCGTCCCCACTGTCTGCTGCCCCAATTCCCCTTTGGAGCTTCATCCTTTAGCCAAGTCTGGGCTGTCCTAGGATGGGAGCCTGTGTTCACAGAGCAGGGGGAGGGTGGGAGGGAGAACACGAGTCCTGGGATGGGGGAGGGAGGCAGCGCCAGGCACGCCAGCAGAGAAGCGTGGAGCAGTGGGAGCAGGAGGGCGCAAGGGAGCCAGCGCCGACAGCCCACAGCAGCTCGGGCAGCCAGCGGGGTCCTGGCTCCGTACCTGAGGCCAGACAGACACCCAAGATGGTCCCCGGGCCAGGTCCCAACTTCCACATTGAGGGGTTGGGGTGCTTTCACTTCGAGCCCCCAGAAGCATTGCAACCCAAACACAGGTGGGAGGCAGAGGCCAGGATCAGCTCTGAGGGGCATGGGGAGAAGGCCAACAGCTGTGCTGATAGGGGGCAGGCGGGGGCCAGCGGAAGCAGTGAGCGGCTCGGGCCCGAGCCCCAGGCCTGGTCCTGGCGGGCGCTGGCTGCTTGTGCGGGTTGGAAGGAGGTCACCAGCCCTCGCAGCAAGGCTGGGCGTGATGGCACTTCCGGCTTCGTCCTGACCCCTCTCCAGTTGGCAGAAACCCCGTCCTGATCCACCTGAGATGCCCAAAATTTAAGAGGCAGACAGGTGGGCACAGCTCTGACGGCGGGGGCAGGGGGAGTCCCAGAGACAGCCGAGGCCGGCGAAGGCCACCGGGATGGATTATGAAGCGGGGCAGGGGGAGCCGGCAGAGCCCAGGCCTCGTAATGACACATATTCTGCTGAACAACTACAAACATTCGCTGTGACTTTGGACGGAGTCTGAGAAAGACTTCGTTTCCTCCCTTGGCAGTATCATTTATCTTATTTTGAAGCCACGAGATTGCAGGCACGAACTTATAGACTAAAGTTTGTCTTAATTGCTGTGGTGTCACCACCTCTCTGGCAGATAACAGCACAATGAACGAGTCGATGGGGCTGAGCCCTCCAGGTCCTTCTTCTAAAGTGAGACAAATTTCCCTCCTTTGAGCCCAACAGTCCATCGGCAGCTCTGACATTTATTTATCTCCCTAACAGTTTGCATTAACTTGCGAGGGATAAAAAGTCTCTCCTGCCCACAGACTTAGTTAAAAGCATCCAGCCAGCCTGTACTGTTGGTTCTTCCTAAGAATCTGCTTTTTATCTTATTTTATCTTTTCCTCCCCGCTTCGAGAGGTGGTGAGGAAGTGGCAGGGAGAGCAGCATGGGTGCACACTGAGAGGAGCAGTGAGATCAGCAGGATGGAAAAGAGCAGGGCGGGTACCTGGAGTTCTAGTGTCCAGATCACTTGAGTTCTGAGAGAGAAGAGAATTTGTCTTGCAGTATCAGCTGGGCGCAGCAAACTGCCTTCACACTCGCCTTGGTTGGTCCTCCCAGCACCCTTACGAGAGCAGGGGGCTGGTTGTCCCACCTCTGTCTCCCACTCCATGTTCCCATCACAGGGGTGATGCTCTACTCCTTGAGTAAGCTGAGCCCTTTCCGCCTCTGAGCCATCACACAGGCTGTTCCCTCAGCCCCAGATACCTTTCCCTGCTAAACCTATTTCCCCTGCCCAGCTCCTATTCATCTTCAAGACTTGGCTGCAATGCTCTGGGGAGGCCTTCCCCGACACCCCACCTGGCCCATCACTCAGAACTCCCTATCCCTGCCCGACCTCACGGTCCCGTCATTGTGGGTTTTCTTGCACCATCTGCATCCTTTGTCTACATTGTTCCAGTGAAAGCCCCAGGAAGGCAGGAGCTGGGACACTGCCGAGCTTCCGGAGATGCTTAAGAAACGTGATTAAATAAATTGAAGGAAGGCTGGCAGGGCCGATGGGGCTTCAGAGGACTTAGTGACTTGGCCTCCACCATCCTTCCATCCAGGAGCAAGACCCTGGTAACACTGTGCAGCAAAGGAGTGGGGGTGCTGCATTTTCCTAACACAATGCAACAAACATGTATAATTTTTATAAGAAAAATTTGTACAACATTGTAAACTGACTATAACTCAATAAAAAATTTTAAAAAAGAATAATTTGTGTTAAAGGTATTTTAAATCTCTGGTGAGAGAGACAACCTTCTGTAAGTTTTCTGACACCCAAATCAAGCCCTTCTCCTCCCTCCACGGCCTCTTTTTGGCAATCCTGTGTGGGAGTCGATGGAATGTAGCAATGAAAGGCATGGGCTTGGAGTCACACAGACCTGGCTCCTCCCTGGACTTGCTGTGTGTCCCTGGGCAGGATGCCTAACCTCTCTGGATAAGCCTCAGTTTCCTCATTGGTAAAATGGGGTCATGACAGTGTCCATCAAATGGGTGGTTGGTGTCATTGAATTATCCTTGAGGCTGACCATGACATGCACAAAACACTTCCCAAGGCCTGGTTCCCTCCCCCTTCCTCCTGCCAGGCACCCTGCCCCACATAGACACAGACCCACACAGCCACTCCTCGATCCCTGGGACTCCCCATTTTTTCATCTGACCCCTGCCCTCCAGGTCTGGAGAAGGACAGGGGATGAGGATGTAAGACAGACACATCACCACCAGCGAGGGCCACTGCACATCTGATGTGAGGGCCTGGCGTGAGCACTCTGGACTCGAACGGCTCTGCCTATGGGTGACCACGCTGACCCCCATCAGCGTGATCCTCAGCCCACACTCAGGCCTGCCTCAGCTTCCCCAGGAGGTCTGTGCAGCCCAGTGCAATCGCTCCAGGCTCAGCCTTGGCCACATGCAACAGGAGCAAAGCTCTGGATTCCCCGCAGTAGCTCAGGCGGCCACCCGGATGCACACCTGCTCTCATCCTGATACTGTAATCAAGTTCCCTGCACACACTCCAGCTTCCCAGGGCCTCTCTTTGGAGAGACATCTATGGTAGGCAGAATATGACAGCCCCCCCAAAGATGTGCACATCCTGATCCCCAGAATCTATGAATATATTATGTTACAGGGCACAGGAGAGTTGACATTGCTACTCACCTGACCTTAAAGTAAAATTATCCTGCACTGTCGGGGTCAGCCCAGTGTAATCACAAGGGTCCTCTAGAGTGGAAGAGGGAGACAGGAGAGGAGAGGAGAGGCAGAGAGAGATTTGAAGATGCTACACTGCTGAGTTTGAAGATGGAGGAAGGAGCCAGGAGACTAGGGATGCGGGCGGCTTCTCTAGAAGCTTGAAAGGGTAAGGAAATGGATTCTCCCAGAGCCTCCAGGAGGAAGGCAGCCCCGCTAATGCCTTAACCTTAGCCCAGTGAAACCCATTTCTAACTCCTGACCTCCAGAATTATAAAATAATACATTTCGTGTTGTTTTCAAACACTGGGGTCATTTGTTATGACAACAATGAGAAACTGGATGTCTCCGCTGTATTTTCCAGCTCAGGATTAGGGCTGGGGTGGCAGCAGCGGTGCTGGGAGGAGGGTCACTTTCCTATTTCCATTGATACCGGCTAAGAAAACTGGAGCCCCCACTGCATGCCAGACTCTGGGCTGGACCCTCTCCTTTTGATGTTCCCAACATTCCTATGATGCCAGCATGCCCATTTCATGAATGAGGAAGCTGAGGATCCGAGAGGAGAAGCGATTCACCCAAAGCCACACAACCAGGAAGTAGGAGCCATTAGATTTAAACCCAGACCTAAGTGAAGGTTGTTTTTGTAGCAATAGCTGCCTCCCTGTAAGATGCAGACAGTGTTCTGTCAGAACTCTTATGCCACTAAGAGAGACGGACCATTCCATTGTCACTTCACCCCAGGACGAGCCATAATAAAGGCACATGCCACACACATCAGAAGGCAAGGGAGAAGAGAATTCTCAATGCGGGAAGGGGAAAGTCCTCAACAGTATTTGCTGAGGAACGGCAGGTTCCTGATTCCTGAGCAGTGAGCATCTGCAGAGGGAGGAGGCTGGCTGGGCCTCTTCTCTGGGGAGGCTCCATCTCTCCTGGGGAAAGGAAGACAGTCATTTCTCCAGACCAAGAAAGCCAAGACAATTTCATGGCGAGAGGATAATCTTTTCAACAGACGGTGCTGAGACAACTGATTATCCATATGCAAAAGAATAAATTTGGATCCCTACCTCACATCGTACACACAGAATTAACTAAGTGGATCACAGACTGAAAGGTAGGAACTAAAACTATAAAGGTCTTAGAAAAAAATATAGGAATAAATCTTATCACCCAACTTCAGCAAAGCCTTCTCAGTTATGACAACAAGAGCACAAGTAGCAAAAAATAAAATAAATTGGATGTCATCAAAATTAAAAACTTTTGTGCATCAAAAGGCACCATTAGATAGCAGGGGCGGGTATAGCTCAAGTGGTAAAGTGCATGCCTAGCATGCATGAGGTCCCAGGTTCAATTCCCAGTACCTCCTCTAAAAATAATAAATAAATAAACCTAATTATCTCCCCCCATCAAAAAAAAAAGACACAATTAGAAAATGAAAAGACAGCTCACAGGACAGGAGAGGATATTTGCAAATTAAATATCTGATAAAGGACTTGTTTCTACAATATATGAAGAACACTTTCAATTCAATAATCAAAATACAAGTAGCCCAAGCTGAAAAAGTGGGCAATGGATCTGAATAAACATTTCTCAAAAGATGTACAAATGACTACATAAGCCTGTGAAAAGATGCTCAAAATTATTACTTATCAGAGAAATATAAGCTAAAACCACAAGAGATACCATTTCACATCCACTAGAATGGTATAATACAAAAGACAGATTTTTAAAAAGTGTTGTCCAGGATGTGGAGAAATCAGGGCTCTCATACATTACTGGTGAGAATGTAAAATGGTACAAAACCAGTCTGGCAGTCCCCTAAAAGGTTAAACACAGAGTACATCACATGACATGACAATTCTACACCTAGACGTATATACCCAAGAGAAATTAAAACATTAATGTTTATAGAAGCTTCATTCATAATAGCCAAAAAGTAGAAACAACCCACATATTCATTAGTGGATGAATAAACAAAATGTGGGTTAGCCATACAGTGAAATATTATTAGGCAATAAAAAAGGAATGACGTACTGATACATGTTACAACGTGGATGAACCTTAAAAACATGCTCAGTGAAAGAAGTCAGACACCAAAGACCATATATTGCACATTTCCAAATGATACGAAAAGTCCAGAAAAGGCAAGTAGATTAGTGGTTGCCAGGTGATGAGGGATGGGGGCGGGGGATAGGGTGATAAGTAATGGGTGTGGAGTTTCTCTTTGGGGTTACGAAAATATTCTAAAACTGATAGTGGTGATGGTACACAACTCTTTGGATATGTGGGGGGAAAAAACATTGAATTGTACACTTTAAATAGGTGAATTCTATAGTATGTGAATTACATCCCAAAAAAGCTCAGGCTGTCCCAGCAAGCAGACTGGACTCCACCCTTGTTCAGGCAGCTGTCCAGAGCTGATCTTAGTCTGCCACGGAAGGGGGACTAACAGGTGCCGAGCACCTACTCTGTGCCATCTGCTTTGTGCAGGGCTGGGACTAGAGAGAGGATTTTTAGGAGCCTGAGACTGATTCCTTGCTTAAATTGTGTGCCCTGGCCACTCAACCTACCCTGGTCCTGCCTATGGGCCATATACCCAGCACCTTATTTAATCCTTATGACATCCTGTGAGATCCAGGATATCTCTGACCCTGTGAGGCCAAGAACTACTTTACAGGTGCAAGTTTGGAGACTCAGAGCAGAACTGGGATTCGAACCCAAACCTTGCTGGCTCTTAAGTCTGTTCTCTTTCCACCCCCTCCCCCCACCATGCATGTGGAAGAAGCCCTGGGGAGGAAGCCCTCGCCACCAGGGAGAGCCCAGCCAGCCTGCCAGCTGCTCCCCCCCTGCCTGCCAGAGCCTAACCCCTCCTCCTGGGAGAACCAGCCTTCGGAGGGTCTGCCTGAGTAGACTGGCCCGCATCTGTGTGGAAGGTGAGAACCCCAAGACCCACTGTGCTCCCCCCGGGGATCCCAGAGCCTTCAACTCTTGAAGAACCAGATTGGCCACTGGACACCAAAGGCACCATTCAATCACTGTGGCCAGCAAGCCAGCTCACAGCCTTTACATTCAAGTGTTATTCACTCATGTATTTAAGAAATATGTTGAGCACCTACTGTGTGCTCGGCCCTGGGAATACAATAGCAAACAGAACATTCCAGTGGGAACGACAGATAACACTCACAAACAAATCAGGAAACAGTAACCAGTGAACAATCCATTGATGAAAATAAAATAGCATGAGACAGACAGGGATGAGGGGTCCAGGCAAGCAGGCAGGCTTAGAGGAGGCCCTGCGTGGTGTCCAGAAGGGGCCGCTGAGGCTTCTTGAGGGCAGGCACTGGGAAGAGAAATCAAGGGGCAGAAGCCTCTAGGAACCATTGAACTTCCTTGGTGTGTTTCCTTGGGTTGGCAGAGAATGTCTAAGCGCCCACCCAGAGGTTCCCCTGTGCTAAGGACTTTATTAGCCCCTTGGGGCTAAGCTAGGGTTGTCAGGAGGGGAGCCCTTGGGAGAAGGGAGGCAGCTGGGACTAAACTAGAAATTTGAGGGTGAAGAGCAAATACCTCTGCTCAGGCCTTGGAGGCTTCTATGTCTGGTTGGGGCAAGTAAGTCTGCCCTGGGCGCCTCCTAGTCTGCCCCAGGGTGGGTAGAGTCAGACCAAAAGGCCTTCCAATCATCCTCAGGGTCCCCTGGCTCTTCCCCTCCCCCAAGCTTAAGCAACCCACACTCAAGCAGAGTCCAAGCCCCACCAGCCACCCCTTCAGGGCTGCAGGAGAGAGATGTTCACCTGCCGCGCTCTTGGGCCTCCAAGTGAAGCAATCCTTCACTCCGGCAAAGTGTCGGGTCAGTGTGCCCATCCTACAGATGCACACACTGAGGCCAAGTCGAGGTCTATGGTCACTCAAGGGGTCAGCAGAAGAACTGTATCCAGGCCTCGACTTTTCTGCCTCCTTTTGATGTCTCAAGGAGTGAGGAGTCCTCCGCAGAGAGGAGCGCTGGCCTGGCCTCTGATCCCCAAGAGCCGGGTCTGGGTGTCAGGAACCAGGAGTGCGTGGCCTTCGGCAAGTTCGGGCCCTCCAGGATCTTCAGCCTTCCCGCCAGCAGCAGGGCGAGGTGGGCACCTCTCAGCACTTTCGCGTGAGATCTGTGGTGCCTGCCTCCCAGCAACCTCTCCTCTGCTCAGGGCTGCGGCCAGCAGGCCCCGCCCAGCCACCTTCATTTGCTGGGCCTGGGCCGGCCGCAGCGCGAGGCTAGGATCTATCCGGCCGTCGGATTAATATCCAGATATTAAGTAAACAATAAATTAGCAAAACTACAAGAAAATTTTACAGCCCTTTGCATTTGGCAATCATTGAGTGTTAATTAGAAATTCATTACAATTAAAACCCTGCCTAAACAGGGCCTGCGCGCCTTAATTACATCTGATTTTTAATTCAGAATACGTGTTTACACAGTAAGCGCTACGTACCCCATGATTATCCCCAATCCTCTTTATACTGTACTAATTATGTAAATTAAACCTAATTAACTGACGAAAACTGCCGTTAATTCAACTGGTAAAAGATATGTGCTTGCGGAGGAGGCGCGGCCGCCCAGCCCCAGCCCAAGCCCAAGCCAGAGCCCGAATGGGCGCAGGCCGCCCGGCTGCGTGGACGCGACGCCGGGGACGTGGAGGCAGCACGGACCCGTCTGGGGCTGGGGTGGGGGAGCACGCCAGGCGCGCTCCTCATCTGGAGTCCCGCCCTCTGACCCTCCGACCCTGGGGCACCCCGCAGCGGTTTAAAGAGAGAGAATCGGCGCCAGTGGGGGTCAGAAAGGCCCAGGGCACCGACTCTGACGGGCTCCCCAGGCTCTGGGTAAGGCCACAGGACTCAGAGCCCCCTCTGAGCAGGAGGAGTCTCACCCTCCCTCGTCTGAGCTTGAGTTCAAGTCCCAGGGCTGCCCGGCACCTGCTGCCTGCATCTGAGCAAATGACTTGGCTTTGCTAGGCCTGTTTCCTTCTCTTGGAGTGTTACGAGGGCGGTCATAGCAGCTCCTCGTGAGCTACAGGGCGCTGCACATTCCTTGCACTCCCTTCACTAAATGAGGCCCTCCAGGCAACGGTGTATGGGAGATCAGCCTGCATCTTTTATTGACCAAGGCACCTGAGTGGGTTGGCTTCCACCGTCTGACCCTCAGTTTCCTCCCTGTAAAATGGGAATAAATAATCTCTACCTATTTCAAGGGCCGTTGTGAGAAAGGATTCAGCAAACTGTAAAATGCTCTCCACGGTGTTACTAACCCATTGGACACTGATCCAGAGCTGAGCCCAGGCCAGACCCCAAGACCCGCTCCCTGGAGGTCGCTGCCCCTCAGGCGGGCGGCGGCGGCACCTCCCCCGCCCCTTTCAGCGCGCCCTCGGTCTTCCTCCGGTCCAGACCCGGCCTGGGGAGCAGGGTGGGTTTGCGAGGCCGGACCGAGGCGCGGGGAGCTGTCCGCAGCTTGGTGCTGAACGGAGACGCAGGGGTGACCCTGCACCGCCCAGGTGCGGCAACACATCAAGGGAACTTTTGTCTGAGAATTCCCTAGGGCTCGAAGCCGGTTTGCCGGGAATGCCCTGGAGGCGTTGCTGGCCCTCACAGTACAATGAAGGCAGGACAGACAGGCCCTGCTTAGGGGGACCTTCCCCATCCTCTTTTCTCTCCCACTCCCCACTACCCCCGGGGCGTCCTGGCTCCGCGATCGTTGTCACCACCATACTGAATTCTGAGATGCCTTTAAAAAAATCATTAGGAGACTAAGAATAATTACCGAACGGGATTGTAATTATGGGTGGGGAGACTGGCCGAGGGAGGGGAGATGAGCAGGTGGAGGCTGGGGGCAGCTGCCGGACTGGGGTGGAAAATAGGTTCCTGTTTTCCTAGCAGGCTACTAGGGAAGTGAGGGTGAGAGGGTAGAGATCGTCAGAGTTAGAACGGGACAGAGGGAGAGCCTGGAAAAGAGGCGCCAATGGAGGGGCCAGAGTCAGAGAGAAAAGGGGCTGAGCAGGCTCTGGGAGGGAAGAAAGGCGGGGAAATCCGAGAGGGAGAAAGCCCGGAACTGAGGAAGGAGAAAGAGCAAGAACCCCTCTAGAAGAGATCCTGCAGCAGAGACAAAACCCTCAAACTTGAGGGGTAGCTTTCTCGGCTTTGGAAAACACGTTAGCCGAGGTGAGAAGGGGGTGGCAAACGAGTCCTCAGGCCTGGCCACCCCCTCTCTCTGCAGGTAGGCCTGGGAGATCCGCTTGCATCCTCAGAGGCGTTTCCCAGGGTCCCTTTGAGCCCCCGGAGAAGGAAAAAGCACAAGGGAGAAGTGGAGGAGAGGGGAGACGAACCCCAGAGGAACCGGAGTTTAGGAGGGGAGAGGGCCTGTAACCTGGAGCAAGAGAGAAAACGAGGGGGTGGGGGCGAGAGCGACCCGGCGCCGCTGGCCGCGGAAGATTTATGGCGCCGCCCGAGTTCCAAGGACAGGCTGCGCTCGTCGCTGCTGCCACAGTCGGTAGCCTCCGTGGCCGCTGCGCCCCCTGCCCGGGCGGCCCGCCGCGCCCCGGGCCATGCCTGCCATTATTAACTTCTGTTTGATTAGGGTAATTGTTCAAACTTGGGCCGGACAGTATGATTAATTACAGTTTAATTAACGTGTCCATTAAGGACACTTAATGCGGGGGGTGGGGGGCGGGTGGATGCGAGGGGGCGCCTGGGTGCGGGCAAAGAGAGAGGGAGTGTGACTGGCAACTTAAATGAAGTAAAGGCAACTTAAATGAGAGAGAAGGAGAAGAAGCTGACCTACTGGGGTACTGAGGGGAAAGAATGGTGAAGATAGAAATCAACAGAGAGAAAAGGGAGGGTGGAGAGAGATGGAGCTCTGGGAAGAGGGAAGGTGCCACAGGCGTCTGCAGCGTCAGGGGCTAGACCCCCACCACGGGGAAACTGAGTTAACAGGAGAGCAAGAGAGTAATCTAGCCGTCAACTAATAGTTGGCCCCAGATATCTCCCAGAGATGACTTGGCTCCAGCCCTGGATGGTTGGTGTTGGTGGGGGGAGATTCAAAGCCCGGGACCTCCCAAACCTAGTTCCAGAGTCCACACCTCAGTGAAGAAGGCAGAAGTCACCCCTCCCCAGGCTGGAACTGTCCTGACACCTCCCATCCAAGTCAGAAGCTGTGAGAGAGTTGATTCTGCCCCTTCCCAGCTGCCATCCCCTAGTACCCCACACCCAGGTCTCTGCCCCAGCTCCCCACACTACTCTGCAGTACCCCTCCCCGTGTCCTGAGCCTTCCTTAGCCCCAACACTCAGCCTTAGCCCGGCTCGCTCCTGGCCCCTTAGTGGGGAGCGCTGGGATTGCTCCACTTTGTTCTTCGAGGCAAACTTTGTGGCCCCGGGTCCTTCCTCCCTCCTGGCCCCCTTA